ACCAACGCCCTACGTGTTTACCCTTGCCTACGACTGGCACCCTACTTGACTACTCTTGCCTACAACCAACGCCCTACGTGTTTACCCTTGCCTACAACTAACACCCGACTTGATTACCCTTGCCTACAACCTCCACCTTACTAGACTACCCGTGTGCACGTTCTGCCATCCTACGTGACTACATTTGCCTACAACTAACACCCTACTTGACTACCCTTGCCTACAACCTCCACCTTACTAGATTACCGGTGTGTACAACCTCCACTTTACTTGTCTATCCTTGTGCACGTTCAGCCAACCTACGTGACCTCCCTGGCTTACAACCAGCACCCTACGTGTTTACCTTTGCCTACAACTAACGCCCTACGTGTCTACCCTTGACTACAGCCAGCACCCCACGTAACTACCCTTGCCTACAACTAACACCCTACGTGACTACCCTTGCCTACATCTGGCACCTCATTTGACTACCCTTGCCTACAACCTCCACCTTACTTGACCACCCTTGTGCACGTTCTGCCACCCTACGTGACTACATTTGCCTACAACCAACGCCCTACGTGTTTACCCTTTCCCACAACTATCACCCTACTTTACTACCCTTGCCTACAACTGGCACCCTACTTGACTACCCTTGCCTACAACTAACACCCTACTTGACTACCCTTGCCTACAACCTCCACTTTACTAGACTACCCGTGTGTACGTCCTGCCACCCTACGCACTATGGCTAGCCTACGTAACTATATTCAGCCTGTTCTGCTAGCATCTATGACAAATACGACATACGCATACACGCTCTCCTATGACACTATTTGTTATAGGACGATTCTTCCCATGACAAATATTGTTGTATGTGTTGTGCGCATCATATAGGAGTTTAGGAGCGCTATTATGAACGCAAGTAGTGAATTTCAGCTGTAAAGCGGAACGAAGTTGACTCGCCAATATTTGTCATAGAAAGAATCTTTCTATGACAAATAGTGTCATAGGAGAGCGTATATGCGTATGTCGTATTAGTCATAGATGCTAGCAGAACATGTTACTATATATTGCAGGTATAATCGGCTGCGTGACGCCCAGTATCGGGCTGCTGCTGGGCGGATGTTTCATGCGGCGGCGCCACCTACGTCCGCGAGGCTCCTTCCTGCTCGCCTTCCTCAGCATCTTCATCTACATCGCGCTGCTCATTCCGATGATGCTGCTGCCGTGCGACGACCTCACGCA